ATGCTCAAAGAGTCCGTCGCTAACCTCGTCGGGCAAAGGTGGAAAGTCATCGTGAACTGCGTCTACCCGCACAGATTGCCATATGCTATTGGCAACTCCTTGGGCTCTTGGGTCGATTGCGGCTTTGCCGTGCAGGAAACGAAGAATACCGAAGAAGATTTCTCCGAAAAGCACCTGGCGAGGCGGGCTGAATTCCAGCCTGTTGGCAAGAAGACACAGAGATATTTCGGCTGTGCCTGCGTACTGCTCAATACCGTTCCAGAACGGGGAATCGTTGCCAAGGACTCCTTTTTCAGCCAATTCTCGCTTGATACGCGCCATCGCATTTGGTAAATGCATCCGCTCAGATATTGTATCTTGTCGCAGTTTGTATGCACGCAGTTCTTCACCCGGCATGCGCACACACTTAGTCTTGATGCAAGATAAGTTGAGCCAGTCTTGAAGCCACCGATCCTTTATCGGAGTCAGGTCAATCGGTTCGAATCCGACATCCCAGATGTACGCGGATACACCGAGAATACCGGGCCTTCGTTCGCGTAGTATGGTTCTTGGAAGGTCGAATCCACGGATAGTCACCTGGTCCAGGAACTCGAAGTCAACATCGAACGGGTGCGCCCAGCCTGGTCGGACGCTTTGGAGAAGGCTGAATCCTGGGTTCTCGCTGGCGTCCTTCGCTATGGTATCCGAGTATGCCTCCGGAATCAACAGAGAGAAATCGTTGTTCATCAGTGACAGGGTTAGAAGCGCTGCACGAAGCGAAAGGCGGTCTCTAGCAACCGCTTCCGGGTCCAGGCGGTGTTCATAGCCACACATATTCGCCATGATAGCTAGACGATCCTGGTTGTGGTAACATTCTCGTGTCTTCAGCAATGTCAGGGCACCGGCTGCGTCAACCGTGGGTCGGATGCCAAATGAAATGGCGCTTCGCGCGCCGAAATTGAAGGTCTTCTTCGGTTTCCAAAATGGAGGGTGCAGATCTTCAGCCTCGGCGACAACTCTCATGGCTCCATATAACGTTGCTTCGCGATGCAAATTTAGTTCATCTCCCTCGAGTGAATGTTGTTGTAGGAATGTCTTTGCAGCCTGAACGATGTCGCGGAACTCGTGTACCATAATGCAAACAACCTCGGATGGGAGACCGCGTCTTTGGCCCTCGCTCTCAAGTGAATGAGTCGGCAGACCACTCCTTTTGTCGGGAATTCGCGGCTTCGTTCGTTCAGGTAGTCCACTACCACGTCTGAACACAAGACTGAGGTTGTCACCAGCGCTGATAGCTTCTTGGACCACCCACGCACGGGTATACCATCGATCCCTCTTGACTTGTTGAAGAAATGCTATGACTATCTCCAGGTCTTGATCATTCGTAATTAGGCGATTGGTACCTGGTATTCTTGTCTTCGAAATCAAACCCCGGATCTTTTCCAGCTGTTGCCACTTTGACATGGCCACATCAAGCAGACCCCCGGTCACAAAAGCTCTATTGTAGATGATATCCATCGCTTGAATTCCAAGTTGTTTATCTTCTTTAAAGGGTGACTCGGTATCTTGTGGTGGCTGAGGAAGGCATTCTTGATCGATCCAGATCATGCGTAGACCAAAGCTGTTGGCGACGTCAACAGCACGGTCAATAATATCGTCCAAGGCCCTGTTTGCTCGGACGACACCATCTAGGTCGCGGACTTTGTATGTTCTGGGTATGTCAGTTATATTCCCGTTGTTGTCCTTTTGTTGAGGAGGCCAGCAATACGAAATGGCCAGATAGTGCGCGCAGATGTTGTTTGCCGAAGGTATGCCGTTCTCGAAAAGCTCCGGGAACTCATCTCTCGGTCTGTAGAGACGGAAATGGCGTGTCTTTCTGTCGTGTGGAAATTCGGGGCAGTGTGCGCAAATAATGCATTCAAAATCGTCCGGAGGGGGCTCATCCACTTTCGGGGTGGACGAGCGGGCATATCTGGGTTCCACGTTCCCGCAAAATTGCAGACGTGCCCCTGACGGCGAATCCTCAAATTCCCAGTCGTCATTTTGAATCGCCTTTCCCTTCCTTCTCTTCTCATCCCGAACAGCACTTTCTTCGCAGTCCTCTGTGGGCCGTTTCAAAATCTCCTCGCGCACTTCGTCCAGTTGCTCGATCGTGGAAGGCGCTGCCTGGTCTCTTTTCCCGTCGACCAACTCCCCTTCTTCGTCAACTATGAGAAACTTGCAATCTCTGACAGCCCAGAGCTCAGCCTCGCGACGTTCGATTCGATATTGGGTGAGGTTGGCCAGCCCCGCCATCATCAGACGGTCGTGAGCCACGAAAGGTGCTCTGGAGTCAAGATCGTTCTCCATTGTAATCCTTGTTGGGATGAGATGAGCGAGATGGCGTGGATTGGCAATTGTGTAGGTCAGATCCTACCAAGTAAGAACAGAGAAGCATATCTGTCTGCTAAAGCCTTTAATAACTATGCCAAGCCTGCTTCATATGCGGACCAATCCCCCCGCATATTGGATCAGGTCGCGTGAGGCAGCCAGACTAGCTACAAGATGGCTGTCAGATTCCTTCTCTGACTTCCCGGTTGACATGACCGGGAAGTACCCTTCAATATATGGTTCAATATACGCGGCATTTGCCAATGTGTGTGGCCAATGAAATCTCATAGATGGATGCGTAGCAGGCCACCTGGCCAGGCATCTGTTTGCCTCGAGGATCAGCAACAGTCGCCCACGAGTAGAACAACGCCACGCAAGAACATGCGCCGCCATTATGCAGAGTTGGAGCTCTCTATTATTTCGCAGTGGGCGAGGCTTAGCTATCAAGAGGACGTTTGGACTCTGTTGCGCGGCTGCGCCTCGAGCGCCTCGACTGCTGCATAGCCCAATGTGAGGCTCACTTTACTACCTCTTGGAGACCCATGGTTTCGTCGCCAAGGTTTGGCCCGCGGACAAGTACCAGATGACACAAAGCCTTCGAAGATTCTTTCTTCATATCGTCCACAATCTTTCCAATTTCTGATGTGCGGAGTGAAAAGTCCTGCCCATATAGAATGAGGCAAATGCCGCAGGATGTCGTTGAAACTCATCATCTCAAGTACTACCCGGCCATGTATAAAACGTGCGATTCGATCTTCATTTCCATTCCACAGCTTTCGCACGCCTACATATAAGAAGCAAAATCTCTGCCGCCCGCTTGAAATCTTCCAACGTGAGGTACACTTGGCCACTGATCCGACACCAAAAGCCACCGGCGTAAAACTTGATGGGAATGTACGTCTCATACTCGGCCGGCGTCAGCTCTTGCATCCATTTCGCTATCCCCCGCCCCACGGATGTGTCGACGTTGAGGTCGGCCAGAGTCAAGGGAAGGCGGACATTGACGAAACAGCATTGCCGAAACGAAGCGGATGATGCGCCAAGGACTTCTGTGCCGAGGATCTCTGCCATAACATCGCCGCCTTGACGGGCAATATCCTCACAGTAGTCCCGAATACTCGTCTCGCCACTGCAGACTCGGGCCCTGAATTCGAGTGCCGCGGGTATACAGCAATATGGTGTGTTGTCTGTTGTGGATATCTTATCAAACAACTTTGAGAAGTAGTACGGCGCATTCATCTTGTTGCGATTCTCTTCGGTTTCGTAGCCCCATGATGTGGGCACCGTTGAAGAAAACATGGCTTGGTTCTGGAATGGTACGTAGAGGACGGCGCACCCCCTCGGGACCATCAACCATCTAGACTCGAGATTAGCGTCAAGATCTCATTAAATCTGATGAGAGAGAGGGAGGGCGACTCACTTATAGCAGTTGCTGATGAAAAAGTCAGGTCTAACATCAACACCAAGATGAGTCAAATCAATGTGGCCGACACCATGCGCGCCGTCCACCAAGCTCAAGATTTCAAGCTCCTTACAAACTTTCACTAATTTCTCAAATGGGAACCTGACCCCAGGGCTTGTGAGAACCGTGTCGAACATCGCAAGCATCGGGTTCTTTCCCTTCATTCTGACTTCCTCCACCGCACACCGAAATCGCCGTATGATATCGTTATCGTCAATAGGGTATGCAATCTCAATTGCGTGCGACAAGAGTGGCCGATCTTCTGAAAGTGACTGGATAGTCTTGTAGCAGGCACCGTATATCGTATTGAAGTACATGATCACATCGCCGGCCTGAAAATTCAAGTTCCGGAGCACGGTGTTGATCCCCGTGGTGGCGTTCTGAACGAAAACGACTTCGCCGGGGTCCGCTCCGAGAAGCGGTGCGATTGCGGCTTTGCTTTCCCTGAGGAGCTTGGGGTAGGTATATCGCATAAACGTGTCTGGCCTCGCCTCGCTCTCGTCCTGTAATCGCCTTTGGTACTCCCGGACTTCTTTGGGAAAAGTCCCGAATGAGCCGTGATTGAGAGGATGGTAGCTCTCGGCAAAAGAGAAGCATTGCTTTCGAATGTCGGCTCCAAAGGCTATTGTAGACGCCGATGACACCGTGTCACCATGTGAACCCATCTTGATAAGCTGTCAATTTGGATAAAGACGTATTTACGAGGTTGAGCTTATGATCAAGGTTATGTTCAGCTCAAGTTGGAGGGTTTTGAAGACTACGAGTGTTGGTTGGAACCGTGGACAAAGGCGCTGTTCAAGAAACCCTTGCAAGCATCACGTGTTTGTCTGCACGTTGTAGTTGATAACTATGTGTGACTGTTTGCTTGTTGGCTCTGTCTTTAGTCCTTTTGGTGTCGATATATAGTCCTCAGAGCACGGCTCATCTACCGCTGCTCTCTATTTTGGAGACGCGAAGCCGATGTTTCTTCGAGCCTTTAAGTCTCATTTATATATCCTGCCCGGCGAATGATCTTGACACCTCTGATAAGCCAATGGGCGTGTCTACCCGCTAAGCAGAACTCTTCAAGACACATCTCTACATTTCTCATCCTATTCCCATTTCTTTGAAAGCCAAGGTGGCATATCTAATGACTTTTGTATAGCAAGAAACTGATAGTAAAAACAAAGACCACTCCTCAGCATTCCCCTCACGCAACAACCTCATCAAAGCTCTTCCCCACCAACTTGACAAACACATCCTTATACTTCTCCGCCGTAGCCTTGCACACATCCTCGGGCAGCGCAACGTCCTCCTTCCCCTTGAGCCCCTGCTCAATCAACCAGTTGCGAATAAACTGCTTATCAAAGCTCTCCTGGTCGCGGCCGACAGCGTAACCCTTGGCAGGCCAGTACCGACTGCTGTCGGGCGTGAGCACCTCGTCCACGAGCACGACCTCGTCCGTGTCCGGGTCGACGCCGAACTCGAACTTTGTGTCGGCGAGGATGATGCCGCGCTCGGCGGCGTAGTCGCGCGCCGCGGCGTAGAGCTGGAGGGCGAGCTCCTCGACGCGGTTGGCGTACTTGGCGCCGACGAGCTTGACGGCCTCGTCCGGGTGGATGTTTTCGTCGTGCTCACCTTGTTCTGCCTTTGTGGACGGGGTGTAGAGGGGGGTGGCGAAGGCTTGGGATTGTTGCATACCGGCGGGGACGGGGATGCCGTGGACGGTGCCCTTTGATTTGTACTCGTTCCAGGCGGAGCCGGTGAGGTAGCCGCGGACTGAGGAGCATGGTCAATATTACATCACCAAAAGATTCAGTATAAGAAGAATGAGGCTGAGTGAAGCATACCGATGGCCTCGAGGGGAATGACCTTGAGGCGGCGGACCTGCATGGCGCGGTTCTTGATAAGAGCGGCGTCGGCGGCGGGTAGGCCGGCCGGGGGGTCGAGGGTGATGAAGTGGGTCTTGAGGCCGGGGACTCGGTCGGTGAGGACCTTGAACCAGTGGGCCTATGTGCCGTTGAGCAGTAGTCTTAGTGAATGTAACTTCTCACATAATTTGAGATTTGAAGACATAAAGAGAGAAGGGTTATTGAGGAGAGAAGAGATGATTGTCGTGAGTGAGTGGATTGGGATGAGAGAATGAGCCTTACAGAGGCGTGGGTGAGAATGGCGCCCTTGTCAGGGATGCCGTTCTTCATGACGACATCAAAAGCCGAGACGCGGTCGGAGGCGACGAAGAGAAGCGTCTTGTCGTCGACCTCGAAGACATCGCGGACCTTGCCCTGGCCGATCTTCTTGAGGCCGGTGAGGTCGACGGATGTGACGCTAGCGGTTGCCATTGTGTGTGAGAGCCGTGTGTATGAGGTGAGTGAATGTGGGGTGGAGGGGTTGAAATTGTCGGCTTTGGAGGGGTTCAATGGAGGGGCAGTCGAGTTATTATAGCGCGACAAGGGACGGAGAGGTCAGCCTAAGTCGGGAGATGTGAGCGACGTAAGTTGAACCACCGTAGACAATAATCTGGCGCACCTTGGTGAGTAGAGTCCGGAGGATGAGTCAGGTTTTCGAAGCCGAGTTCGGGATGAGATTGGGAAACGTTCAAAAGGTTGAAAAGTCGACGGCGCACCGTACGCTCGGCACGGGTCACGAAAAACCGGCGTGAAAAAAATTTCCCCTTCGGGTGCAACCGCTCCACCGGTTCCCCTCCTCCATTGATGGGTTCGAACTTTAACCAGTGACATCCCGCAGTTTGAGACGACTGAATCACAATTCACTGACTACACTAGGTCAATTCTTGATTCAAGTGAGATACTTCTCTGAAGAATAATCTACAGACCGAAGGCAGACACACTGAATGCCACATGGGCCACGCTTTGAAGCCATCCCGAACGTGTCGAAGAGCGCCTGTATTTTGACGTCAAATTACATTATCATTTAAAAGTATGAGTAAGTATGTGCATATGAGAATCAGCCCGCCATCAGGGCCGCGCCTACGACAGCAAAGACAGACATGAGCACCATTACCAAGAACCCATCCGCTTCCGAGGCCACCACCCCAGGATGTGACGCCGCATTCGGTGACTCGCTCGAAGCCGGCGTCGCAGCGCCTGCCGAGACAATCGACGTATCCATCCCAGCAGCAGCCGTCCCCGTCATCGTCCCCGTTCCGGCCTTCGTCGACGTCGGCGCCGGCGTACTGACCTGGCTCGCCACACCCGTAGCCGTCGGCAAGCTCGTCTCGCCCGCCCGGAGCTCAATGATATTGGTCCGGGTCGCGTTGAGATTCGACTGCGCGATGCCGACCTGGTGGTTCGCCTCGTCGTAGACGACGTACGCGCTGCGCAGGAACGTGTCGCCCAGCAGTGCAAATTCTGTGCTGTTGACGTCAAACGTGGCGCTGTTCTGGATGCCAAACATGCAGGGCTTGTCGAACGGGGTGAGGCCCTTGAGCTGGTCCATGATGGGGTCCAGGTTATCCAGGACCATCTCCTCCATCGGGACGCGGATCTTGACGCCGGCGAAAGCAAAGTCGAAAAAGATGCCCTCGCCTTGGGGGCCTCGCCACTTGCAGTCGATGAATCCATACCCGGCGTCGACGACGTCGTACTTGACCCAGATGGCCTTTGCCATTTGCTCTGGGAGGAGACATATCGTTGACCCGGAGTCGAGGACGGTCGCGGCGTTGAAGTTGTCTCCGGCCATGTTGACCGTTTTGCCGTCTGGTGTTTCGATTTCGACGCCGGTCATGGATATGCTGTAGCTTGTCATGTTGCCCGAGTGGTGGTCGTTGACGAGCGGGAGCGTGGTGAGCGAGCCGATGTATTTCTCCGTGTCAATGCCGCCGAAGAGCAATGTTCCCTCAGATGACGAAAGATCGTTCTACCCGTCATGGTTAGCGGACATGCCGTGAAGATGAATATGGCAGAACTCCTTCCTTACCAGCCATATACTGAAGGCTTTCCTGCCTATGACACCTTGCGTGACCATATTGTCGAGAATGGTAGGATACTTGCGCTTCGTCGCCACAGTCTGGGAGAATCCGAGCCCAATCAGCCCCGTACCCTTGACCGTCTGAATCGCCAAGCCAAGCTGTTGATCCTTAACCGTCTTGCCATTGATGCTGATGACATCCGAGATGTAGTCTCCCTTGATGTTCTTGCCGTCAAGGTACGTGATATCAAACCCATTCTGACCGACAACCTTGTACGTCGAGCTGGCTGTCGAGTTGTACGTCTCGGTACACCCCGTCTCGTACTGGCGCTGCAGCTTCGTGCTCGTGCAGAGGTCGGCCTGCTTGTCGACGATCCACGTGTCGCTGCTGCCCGTGTCGACGTGCAGCAGCGCCTTCTGTCCCGGGGTGCCGATTTCGACTTCCGAGTAGTACCCGCCGCCCGTGATGTTGTTGAGCGCCGCGAGGGTGAGTGTGTCGCGGCGGGTGATTTGGACTAGGTCTACGGGGAGTTGGATCTTGTGGAAGTTGGCTGAGATGACCTTCTGCGAGACGGCTTCCGACGCCAGGGCCGCGAGGGCCAAGGTCGTCGTGGATAGCTTCATCCCTGTGGACTGGGGAGAGGGGCTAAAGCTTCAACTCCCTCGAGAAACGGACGCCTGTGGTTGGAGATCGAGTCCCTGTTGTTTACGTCTGCTCCACCCCCGCAGACTGCTTCTTTTGCGGAGAAGCTTATCCTGGTAGACGTCTAAATAGTCATTCGAGAAACAGGGGACATGGGCCGGTTAGCAACAGGAGGCCGTTGAAGACTGCAAGAGGAAGAAGAAAGCAGAGTATCGTCGGCCGGAGCTGTCAGATGCCAACGGCGACGGGATCGCACGTCCTTTTCTGTCAATGGGACAACAGCGGGAGCTCTCCTCTAGTACAGCCGCAAAAATGGGGAAAAGAAAGCAATGCCTCTTTGGAGCCACGCCCAGCAGGGCTATCTGGGGCCGTTGGAGCTAGCCTGACTGCATAATACCGGTAGGCAGACCTCGCGCCACCTTGAGGGTTTCGTTGTTTGTTACGAGATTTGGAGATTTGGGGTTTGATAGTCTGGTCGCGCCAGCCCCGAGATGGTTAGAGAGGCACAGCAGAACACCCCAGACGGGCACGGCGGGTTCCTCGGCTCTGTGCTTGGCGGAAAGGAAAATGGGACCATGGGGCCCATTGGGTGTGGGATATCATGATGGACACCAGGTGGAATGCCATCTTCGTACATTCAGGGGCTTTGTTATTTCTTGACACATTCTTGGTGTGGTTGCTTTGCTTGGTGTATGACGCGGGGAGCATACCAATTTGAGTGTATGGCAAATGAGAAGATGGGAACATGGGTGAGAGATTATTTGGGTGTGGGAAAGTTGAAGGATCAAAGACAAGCAGAGACAAGTCGCGGGCCGGTTTGATGTCTTGGCGTGTCTGGGGTGCTTAGTCACTGGAGATTTGTACGAGGTGAACATCCTTTGAAGGATGTTTGATCCCTTGCTTCTAGAATTATGGTTCCACAGAATGCTTTATTTCTTGGTATTATGTCTTTGATGTGTTGGCTTTGACTGTCCAACAGACATGACAGCTGAAGAGATAGGTTTAACGGCAATGAGGTGGGACGATGAATGCTATTGATGTTCATGGGCACAGGCATAGATTAATACCATCACCCAGTAACATCACCCATCGCCGCAGTTCTGGGAATTGTATCAAGCCATGATTGTGATTATGGACGGCTTTTGACCATCTGTTCAAAGCACTCCAAAGTGACCAGACTACATAGCCTCCCTGTCGCAGTGTTGAGCCACAGCCTAGACATTCTAGCTGGGCACCGCGAGATCTCAAGCCTTTTTGACCCCAGAAACGCCATATCCACGCCGTCGCCTTAATACAAACCTCAGAAATTGAATCGAAGCCATAGCCATCTCATGTGGCTATGGGCGGGCCGAGACTTCCATCCGGGAGGACACGCTGCACGGTATTATGCTCCGCCTCCTTCCTCAGCTTCCGTTCCGCCGCTGCCTCCTTGATGCGGCGCTCCTCGTCCAGCCTCGTATTCGCATCCACGGCCAGGAGCTTCATCTGGTACTTCACGTCTCTAGTGTGAATCGAGTACCATCCCTGATGAGGCTTGCAGCGCTTCTTGTCGCAAATGTTCTTGTCCTCGCCGCTCAGTCGGCTGCCGACGTCGAGGTTGCCCGCCTTGTAGACCTCCTTGGCCTCGTCCGACTTGAGCCAGTTGGCAAAGGGGCCCACGACGCCCACCTGGTCGAGGCGGTAGTCGTAACCGCACGCCGCGTCTTCAAATTGCTTGGAGGCGATGAGGGCCTTTCGCCGGTCGTTGGACCACTCGAGGAGCTGGAGCATCTTTTGGCAGAGCAGGACCTCTTCGCCCAGTTTCTTGCGCTCCGCGGCTGAGACGGTGAGAATATTCTTCTCCTCCTCGGTGAGATATGCTGGTATAAGATTCTTAGTCTTGGATTCCGGGCTTTCAGCTGCAATAGGTAGTCAGTAAAATTCCGCAATCAAGTTGAGCTGTTGAATTCATTTACGTACCTCCGTTTTTCTTTGGAGCAAACGGCTTGGTCTGGACCTTCCATCTGCCATCATACGGGTCGACACCAGCAAGAGTGCTAGCCAACAGACCCATGGCTTCTTCCTGAGTGAGTCCGTCCTGTGAACCGTTCTTGGATGAGTGCTTCTTCGGCAGGGCGGCGATGCTCTTCTCCCAAAACATGTGCGCATGCTCGTCGCTGCAGAAGACGCTGCTGTTCTCCGGACCATCATAGAGACGCGCTGCCTTCATGCAGTTCCGGTAGGAGCACGTCTTCTTGAAGAGGCTGACGTTCTGATCGCCGTCTGCACAGTTAGGGCAGACGAAGCGCTCAATGAGGTTCTCGCCGACCTCCTTGCTCATGCCGATGCACTCGCCGTGAAACCAGTCGTCGCACGTGTCGCACGAGATCATGAACCGATGATCGTCTGGACCGCGGCAGATGCAATACGGTCCGTTGTCAGATTCTTCATCAGAGCCTCCTGCCAAGTCGTCGTGTAGATTGGCGGATGATGTCGTAGACGCCGCGTCGTTCTGCTTCTTGGGCTTGCTTGATTTCGAGGGACCGCCCTTGTGCCTTTTCGGGACCTTCTTGACTGCAGCGGTTCCTTTCTTCTTTGGCCCCATCTTTTGAGATTCTGAGGGCTTCTCAGTGGTTTCTAGAATGGTGGAAGGAGAGAAAGCTTCTCTGGCTGGAGGTGGGAGGGAAGAATCGGGTTGTGATGACGGCGCAGTATTAGAATCTGTTTGCTCTTCTTCTGTCTTTTGATGTGCCGTTTGAGATGTGGTGGGAACGTGGCCGGGCGCATCTGCCATCTTAAGATCCTCATCCTCGCCGCCTTTGATCTTTGGCTCCACGTCTGAATCCATGGCTTCCAGCATGTATCTTTACAGCAGTGACGACTTAAAAGTGGCACGTGAATATTAGGAGCGCGGTATGAGAACAAAGAGTTAATTTCAATGGAAAAGTAGATGAAAGACAGGTTCGTTTGTTGCGTGATGCAGGATGTTGAGGCTCACTAGAGTGAAGTTACAGAATGAGAGTGAGAGTGAAAGTGAAGGTCCGGCATCAAGAAAAGACCCACAACTATCTCGGTGAAATGGGCAGGTGCTCGGTCTGCTTCGGTGAACGACACAAAGGGGAAGGAATTTCGCATCAATGGTTCTTCCGACCCACAATATTTTGGGAGATGGCCCAAGCTCACCGAGAGCTTTTTTTGGAGTCTTACGATTTTCCAATGACGAAGGCTCCCCAGCTTCCCGGTCATTCTAGATCATATTGTTGCTTAAACCTTCAATTCCTTCAGCCATGTCGCAAGCCACCACGAGGCTTCTGTGGAAGTCTCTTTCCTCCACAACTTCGACACAATGCCGACGATGCATTTCCCAAGCGACGTTTCCTAAGCAGACGACCCGGCCGACTGGCGCTGCGCCGAGCATGCTCCAGACGAGACCTTCCCCGGCGCAAAGGAGGACGAAGACGTTCAAGACTGTGGAGGAGGCAAAGAGCAGATACAGAGCAGGGGTACAGTCTCTACCCAGAGCATTCGGGTGATCTCTTGCCATTGAGAGTGGTCATGCTGACTGGATATCTGAACCAGCCCTTTTCATGGAAGGCCGGCCTGCTGTTCGTCGGAACCGGTGTTGGCCTGACGTGGTACTTCGAGGCCGAGAAGAAGCGCATGGAGCGCAAGCGCATTGCGGAGGCGACCAAGGGCATGGGCCGGCCCAAGGTGGGAGGACAATTCGAGTTGACCGACCAGGACGGCAACAAGTTCACCAGCGAGGATATGAAGGGTCGCTACGCACTGGTTCGTTGAGCCGTACAATGTCGCAAGGGAAGAAGAAGAAGAAAAAGCTGACAATATCTGCCACAGGTCTACTTCGGCTTCACGCACTGCCCCGACATCTGCCCCGACGAACTCGACAAAATGGCCCAGATGTACGACCTCGTCGAGAAGCAGCGCCCAGGCTCCGTCGTGCCCCTCTTCATCACCTGCGACCCGGAGCGCGACACCCCCAAGGTGGTCAAGGAGTACCTGTCCGAGTTCCACCCCAAATTCATCGGCCTGACGGGCACCTACGACGAGATCAAGGCCATGTGCAAGCTTTACCGCGTCTATTTCAGCACGCCGCAGCATGTCAAGCCAGGCCAGGACTACTTGGTCGACCACAGCATATACTTTTACCTGATGGACCCCGAAGGCGACTTTGTCGAGGCGCTGGGGCGGCAGCACTCGCCGTCCCAGGCTGCCAAGATTATCCTGGACCATATGAATGATTGGCAGGGAGGATGGAAGAAGGAGGAGTAGGCTGTGTGTGTGAGAGAGAAGAAGATTGATGAAAAGTGTGTGGTGTACCAACTTGTGTAATATGTATCATCAGATGTTTCTATGGATAGACCTTTGAGCCATCGTTGCTCCAAGACCACTCAATCACACTGTAATACCTTTCGACGTTTGCAAGGGGTAAAACCAGGTTGAGGCTTCGCTCACCTTGACCTTGCCTTTCAATGGATGAAGATCGATGTGTTTTCTCAGACCATGGATATGGCAGTGGATGTTTAGCAATCGCATTGTGAGGAAACATTTACTGTAGTGCAGAATCATCACACTCCCTCCTGAGCCTTCGTTGCTTAGATGCTATTCACAGAAATCCGGACTGTGTTCCGCGACTCTCACACACACGGAACATGAACTATGTATGAAAAGGAATGCATCTATCTAAAGCATAGCTCTTTGGTGTCACAATATAGCTTACTCACCTAATACTGAGTTGGCCGGTTTCAAGCCGTTGCTTTGAGTGATGGGCTCAAGACGCACCCCGCAGACCTGAGGTCGACTCAGCCGCTAAAATTAGCGAGCGAGCGGAGAGCATTGGATGGATGGCAGGGGTAGGTTCCCTGCAGGGGACAGCTCAGTCAGTGTCGACCGTTATCCGTTATCCGTGCCCGCAGGTTCAACCTCAACCACACGGACAACCTCGACTCATCATCACTTTCACACTCAAACAGCAACTATTTCCTTTCACGTTCTGTCATGCGGCATATTTGAATTCCAGATTGATTTTCGAAGGACTTGCATTTTATACATCATGAGACAGGCAGTCAGGGCAACGGGCCTCGGTCGGCTCGTTTCGAGGCCGCTCACCACTTCACCGACACCTTTCAGATGCGCAGCTCCCGGTATCGGACGTCACGAGAGAGGGCTTTCCGGGCTGAGAAGGGTTACGCTGCCTTTGGCAAGCTTGCCAGGCGCCATCAAGACTATTGGCTCGGAGCGGTGGTTCAGTAGCAAGAAGCCAGTTTTCGAGGCGGGCGAAGCTCCGTCGTTTGCATTTGCTTTTGAGTGAGTCAAGCCCAATGGCGCAAAGGTTGTGTAGCTCTTTGGAGGAGTCTGATGTGGTTCTGGAAGCCCATAACCATCATTCATGTCCCACCAGGAACTTTGTAAGGGGCGTGAAATAACGAGAGAGATCAGCATCGACGGTGTTCTATTGCACGTGGCCAAGCCTATTCCCGGGGCCGCCGAGTCGCTGCAGTACCTCAACGACAACAACATCCCCTTCATCCTCCTGACCAACGGCGGAGGCAAGCCCGAAGCCGTCCGTGTGAAGGATCTGAGCGACAAGCTCGGGGTCAAGCTCTCGGTGGACAACTTTGTCCAGTCGCACACTCCCTTTCAGGAGCTGGTGCAGGGGCCGGAGGGTTTGGGGGATAAGACCATCTTCCTGACGGGTGCCGATGCGAAGAAGTGTCGAGAGATTGCCAAGCTGTAAGTCAATTATCTCCGAGAGCTCGTATGCTCTCTAAGCTTCACGCCAACTAACAATCCAACAAGGTACGGCTTCAAGAACGTGGTGACGCCTGCAGACATCATCCACGCCCACCCCGAAGTATTCCCCTTTGAACTCCTCAAGAAATCCGTCTACGCAGACTCCCACGAGCCCTTACCGAAACCGATCCACGACGGCACCGTAGCGGACGGGGACGCGCTCAAAATCGACGCAATGTTCGTCTTCAACGACCCGCGCGACTGGGCTCTCGACATCCAAATCATCACCGACCTGCTCTTATCGCGCAACGGCCTGCTGGGCACATACTCCCCCAAGAACGGCGACGCATCGCTGCCAGACGCCGGGTGGCAGCAGGATGGGCAGCCGCCACTCATTTTTTCGAATGCAGACCTGTTCTGGTCGACGACGTACCACCAGCCGCGGTTTGGGCAGGGGGCGTTCCAGGCTGCTGTGGCGGGTGTGTGGAAGGAGGTCACGGCGGGGCAGGCGGAGTTGAAGAGGACTGTGTTTGGGAAGCCATTTGCGACTACGTATCAGTATGCGGAGCGGGTTCTTGATGCTCATCGAAAGGCGCTACTAGGTAAGAGTAAGAGTGGTGGTGCTGGTGGAGATGTCGCGCCGTTGAAGACAGTGTACATGGTGGGAGATAACCCAGAGAGCGACATCCGGGGCGCGAATGACTACAGCAACGAGGAGACGGAGTGGGCTTCTGTGCTGGTGAAAACGGGTGTTTGGAGCCAGGAGAGGGGGGCGCCTACGCATAAGCCCAAGATGATTGTGGATGATGTCAAGGCGGCGGTTGAGTGGGCATTGCAGAGGGAGGGAAGGTCGACCAAGATCTAGCCATGCGTTGGAGCATGTTGGTTGGTACTAGAAGCTCCAGCGGATGGTCCGAGTAGTGTATTGTATTTAGGCAGCCGTAACTCACCGATGAATGGCAGAGTGAGATGTGTAACTACAAATCCAGCTCGACCATGTAATACAAGGTGTGGCTGAGCTCAATCTCGAGAGAGATACCTAGTGTGCCGTGTATGCTAAGAGTAGGTACCTTATGCGTACTGGTATCTGTACATGTATCAAAGCAGGATTTTGCAATTTAGACTTGAAATTAGTCTTTTCTTCCAGTAACATGGCGTTGTGTGCTAATGAATGGATAGAGAACGAGATTGGACGGTCGATTGTAGCACATGGCAATTACCGGCATGGCAATTGGAGAAGAACCCAATTGTCATAATTTCGCCCAAAGCTGTCAATTGATGTCAATCTTGGGGGCGAAGTGTACCGTGTGGTGTATCGCCATGTACGTCACATGCAAGACGCGCGCGACATGCCATGGAAAGCAAGGGTCGGGAGCTCCCGACTGGTACAGTAGGGTCCCCCCTGACGTCACATTTGGTCTTGTCTTTTCGGGGTGGTTGCGTGGTTGCGTGGCATTGCCATGGAGCCGGGCTGTCATTGTTTGGTGCCAGACTTGATGTTGGCTAATTACTCTAGAGTATGTTTCTAAGGCCTCGTGAGATGTCATGTCGGTGACAGAATCCTCCCGAATTTTTAGCTGGTGGTAAAGTGATGGAAGGACGAAGTGGTGCTAGTGCGACGATAAGAAGAACCCTTGCTCTGGAATTGTGAAGCTACTTGGAGGCAATGTACCTTGACATGTGCCACTGTGGCGGAAGTCGGTGGAAGACCAAGGTTGTGCGGTTGTCGTCGGGCGCAGGCGCGGCACTGCGGGACAATGTACGGTCTAAAGTGAGCTATAAAGAACTTGGGACCAATAATAAGGTACCTTACGCAGTACATACGCACAGTAACTGGGACGTAAAAGCAGGCAGGGATGACGGGCGAGGGGTGCACCTGACCATTTCCAGCTGGGTCCACCGCCAGGAGCTCTCCCCAGTGGTCCCCGTCCCCACGGCTCGGTCAACCAAAGCGTCCAACGGCCCATAACTAAGGTACTCCGTAAGGTACCATAGGTAGGCAAGTAGGTACCTTACCTTACAACCTCAACACCACACGACTAGTTGCCCTTTTGCTGCGGCTGTAATTCGCCTGACAACCGCTCAACGTGTTGTGTTGTGTCGGTCTTTTCTTTTTTATCCTTTTCCCCTTCATCTGAACACCCTTCTTTCTTTGCATCGTCTCCCCGCACAACTCTTGCCATTCTCGTCTCATTCTTCGGTAAATCTTCTACTTCCAGAACCACTCTCTGAACCCAAACCAACCTTGCCTGCAGCCAACCCCCCGTCACCCCTCACAGTTGGGGTCCATCTTACACTACCTTACCTACCTGGTCTGAGGTGACCCGTGTCGCCTGCGTGCCCCACGATAAACCCCTCCGTGTCTCTTTGCGCCGGGCCCGATAAGAACCTACAGCACCCGACTCCGTACTTATCGTGGGATTCCCATTCTCTGAGCCCCTCCCCTCCAGGCTCCCCCATACCTTACCCAACCTAAGCTGCAATCGCAAACTGTCTCCTCTCACCTCCCCAAAGGAGGATAACCTCGATTTTCTTCACCGACGCACATTGCAAATACCCTGTCATCTCACGCGAGCAAAATTTCTCTATCCGTATAGCCGCGACCTAGCACCATTACCCGACTTTGCGCGCGCGCGATTCCCTCCTCTCATAAATTCTGTTGCGCCCGCTTCTTCCTCTGTCTTGTCTGCCAAGATGTCGTCCTCTTCGTCGCCCCAGATCACTGGACAGCAACAGCCCCTGCGATCAGCCATGAAGACGGACGAAGAGTGCGCATCCAACCCCGCCAAAGGTCAGTTCAACTAAACTTCTGGCTTCGTCCCATTGTAAACCTACCTACCTACATACCTACCTACGGTCTGCAGGCCCGGCATCCGCATCAAGTGGTATCGTGTCATCACGACAGTGATGGGAGGATGAGCGATCGAGCACATGTGGCTGGCAGTCGATCAGCAATAGTGACTCGTTCCAATGCTCATGCTCATGCCCATGCCTTCGTGTCTGCCCCGCGTCACTCAGAGATACTTTGATTAATGCCGCCGCCGCATCATACTTCGCCACAGACACGGCTCGATGGACTAGTATCGTCGCTGGGATTGTGACTTGCAAGAAGAAATTCATGATTTACTAACCCCCTCGCAGTCGTTCAAATCGCTGAGCCAGAGGCTGACGCTGTCGCCCCGCCTCCACCTGCCCCGCCTTCCGATCATCACCACAAGAGACAGTACGCCGCCAACATGGCCAAGAGGTTGACAGGTCGCATGGGCCTCACCAGCTCCTCATCCTCTCGCTCTTCCCCTGTCATGGAGCCGTCGCCTGGCCCGTCTTCCGACGATGCTACCACTGCTGCTGCTGCTGCTGCTGCCGCGGCCGCTGCTCAGCCGTCTCAACACCATCATCGCCACGGCCACAAGGCCCACTACGAGAGTCAGAAGCTACTCGCCCAGCTCAACGACTGGTTGGAGCATGAGAAGAAAAAGAAGGCCGCCCGGAAGAGCAAGACATCGCCCCGACGCCGCTCACCGCAGTCCAAGACCAAGAAGGAACGATCTCCTGCGGCAGAGACGGCAGATCCGACAGCCCAGCCCGCTGCCTCTCGTCCGCGCTCAGACTCCATCGACTCCGATTCCAGCGACGTTTCCTTCGATAGGCTGCAGAGGATTATTGAGGACAGCATGGCTTCTATGGGTATCAGCTCGGTACCTCAGATGAGTCCCAAGGTCGGCAGGCGCCCCTCTCTCCGTCACAAGAAATCTTTGTCGCGTAGCATGCTCCATAGAACGGCGAGCTCCGACACCGATTACATTGGCGAAGACGTTGTGGTGCCGACCTGCGACGCAATCCTCGATAACTCAAAGACTCTCAGCTACAGCGGTGGTGGCAAGAGCACCGATGACCTGACCCTAGGTGGCCAGGCGGACGAAAAGGAGAAGGCCTGGGAAACATTCAAGAACGAGATTGTTCGTCTGGCTCATACTCTCAGAATCAAGGGTTGGAGGAGGGTTCCCCTCGACAGTGGCAACAACGTTATCGTGAAACGTCTCAGCGGAGCCTTGACCAACGCCGTCTACGTCGTCTCTCCCCCCGAAGACCTCGAGGAAGTACCCGGCAAGAAGCCCCCACCAAAGCTCCTTCTGCGCATCTACGGACTCGAAGCCCTCATCGACCGCGAGAACGAACTCAGCGTGCTCCGGCGACTGGCACGGAAGAAGATTGGCCCGAGGCTCCTCGGGTGCTTCACCAACGGCCGGTTCGAGGAGTACTTCAACTCCATCACCCTCACACCCAACGACCTGCGCGATCCCGATACCTCCAAGCAAATTGCTAAGCGCATGCGGGAGCTCCATTTTGGTATCGACGTCTTGGAAAGGGAAAAGGACGAGGGTCCTGCGGTGCTCAAGAACTGGGATGCCTGGCTCGGCAACGTCGAGAAGAAGATTTGCGCTCTCGACGAGGGCGTGCGCAATGGCAACTGCGTCTTCCGAGACCGCGGGTACGTGTGTGGCGTGGAGTGGAAGCAGTTCAAGGAGCTATACGACAAGTATCGCGAGTTGGCTCTCAGCGCCTATAAGGGTCACGCCATCCGCGAGCGTCTCGTTTTTGCCCACAACGACGTGAGTAAACTTACCCCTGTCTCCTCTCCCCCAAATGTCAAAGTCAGTCACCAACTCACCCGCTCACCCAGACCCAATACGGCAACATCCTTCGCATGCGCCCCGAAGACGAGAAATCCCCCCTCCTAAAGCCGGCAAACGAGCACAAGCAGCTCGTCGTAATCGACTTCGAGTACGCCGCCGCCAACGTCCCAGGCCTCGAGTTCGCAAACCACTTCACAGAATGGTCCTACAACTACCACCACGAGTCCCTCCCCTTCGTCTGCAACACGGCAGTCTACCCAACCATCCAGGAACAGCGCCGCTTCCTCAAAGCCTACGTCGAGCACCGCCCGCAGTACACCCACGGCGGCGCCTCCACGCCCCGCCTCACCCCCGCCGGCGCCGCAGACGGCAGCAGCGCCGTCGGCACGCCCGCCCTCCTCCCAACCTCTTCATCCTCCTCCATTGTCGAGTTCATGCTCGACGCCCGCGTGCCGCCCAACCACTGGAAAGAAGAAGAGCGCCGCGCAGAGGAAGCCGTCGAGGCAGAAATCAAGGAACTCTACGAGGAAACCCGCCTCTGGCGCGGCATCAACAGCGCGCAGTGGGTCGCGTGGGGCGTCGTCCAGGCTAAAGTCCCCGGCTTCGAGTCCCAGGAGGAAATCGAGCAGCAGGAGAAGCAGGCGCAGAACGAGGCCGCCGCCGCAGCGGGTGACGCGGACGCCAAAGCCGAGGTGCAGGCTGCTGCGGAGGCCGAGGCCGAGGACGAGGGCGACGAGTACGATTACCTGGGCTACGCGCAGGAGCGAGCGTTCTTCTTCTTGGGCGATTGTGTGCTCATGGGGATCGTGAAGAAGGAGGAGTTGCCTGAGGACGTGCAGGCCCGGCTGAAGATTGTGGATTACTGAAAGTAGCAAGAATTTTGACGGAGAGTGGCTACTTTTTTTTTTCATACCTTTCTTTTGCACATAGACCGTTTACAATATACCAAATTTCAAAAGGCAAAAGTCCAAGCACGAAACTTCGTTTGATTGTAGTGGACATTGCTGTATTCTTTTGTACCATTTAAAAGTTGCTTGCACTGCACGTATTGTGTTGGTAGCTACCCTATGATAGCCCTGCTCCTTCCGTCTCTACTTCCTCGCTGTAGCAAGCACCACGAGCAGTATCTCTGTTGGCCATTGCCATCCCAAAAAAAGCTCCTCAATTCATCTTGTTATACCGCTCCCTAGCCCGATCCTGCACCGTATTCACATACTCGGCGTAACTATTCGTCGTCTTGCGCTGCGCAAGCTCCGCCGCGTCGCCCAGGTTTCCGCCCTCGGCACCGAGGCCAACGCCCTCCTGATACGCGTGCGTGGCAATCACCTCGGTGCGGCCGTCGCCGTTGGCACCCAGGCCCTGTCCCGTGCTCCAGCCCATCTTGGCCAGCATCCCCGCGCCCTTGGATTTCGGAGGCGCCGGCGGAGGTGTTTTCTCCTTGGATGCTGCCGCCGCCACTGTCGCCGCTGGAGGGTTTGCTGTCTTGTCATCTTTTCGCATGGGTTTATTACCGCCTTGGGCAGGAACCTTGGGTTTCGCGGGTTGGTTAAACACCTCTCTCCGCTCCTTGGCGCGATCGCGGTACTGCGGGGCTGATTCCTCGTCCGCCGCTGGCGCCGCCGGCTGCTCTTCTGCCTGTTTCGCCATCCTCTTGTCGCGGGCAGCTAGTCGTGGCTTAGCTGCCTTGACCTTCTCCTCGTCCGCTGTGGCGTTCTTGTGGTTCCTCGACTTTTCGTGCGTGTTGAGATCATCCAGAGATTTGTACTTCATCATGCAGATCAAGCAGCAGATCTTTTCGCGGTCCACGTATGATACTGGTGCTTCCGACGTAGATGTCTTGTCCGTAGCCGCAGTTCCCGTCAGAGGCGCGGATGTCTTGGAATCCTCGATCGTAGGAGCCCCATCCGGCGATGCTGTCGGAGCAGGTGCTTTCGCAAGGCTCGCGCTAGTCAAAGAAATCTTGATAGGTCCGGTAGAAATTGCGTTCGCGCCAGACAAAGAGATCTTCACAGGAGCGCGCTCCTCCGACTGATCATTTTCACCAACAGCATCGGCGGCCCGCTTGCCCTCGTGTATTTCAACGTGCCGTTTCTGCCAAAACGCCATTTGTCCAGCCATTGGCACCGACTTTTTGGTGGAAGAGGCGGGCAGGTTTCCGTCTGCCTTGCGTTTCTTACCCTTCTTCGCTTCGTCGGTAGCATCCCCTTTGCTTCCGTCTCCAGAGGTGCCGCCAGGGGGTACTTCGGTGATCACTCTCTGGCTGGGATAGACGTGAGGCTCCCAATACTTGACCCGAAGAGTCGGGTTAAAGAGCGGGTTGAACGAGACACGCTCGTTAAATCGCGTCACTTCCCTGAGTTCTGGCACGAAGACGCCCAGATGGATGGTCGAAACGGTCACAGGTTTCGAAGCAATGGTAAATTCGCGCATCATCTGAAACTTTTTCATGGCCGCCATCGCATCTTCCACGGTCCAGAACTCGGCAAATCCAAAATTGAACGACTCGTTCGTCTCTTGATCACGCATCAAGAATGTGCGATGGAGAGAGCCCGGCCTTGCGCCGTAGCCAGATGCATCGCCGGTCGGGGCAGTGGACTTGAGCTTTGGCCCGTCGCCGGAGTTCTTTGCTGCTGCTTGCTTTTGCACGAGCTCTAATTTTCCAGCTCCCGCCGAGAACAAATCTTCGTTAACGGAGGGCGCCAAAGGGAAGAATACCAAGATTTGAGAAGGTGTATCGGATGCATCGCTCTCGCCAGTCAACAAAAACCGGTATTGAGAAGGATCTGGCCAAGTCAGTACGGGTCTCGCACTCCGCAAACAGGATCGTTGAATGTGCATACCTGTGGGCGGACCGCCGCAGTTTTTGCAACGGCTCCTGGTCGCATAGTTTGAAAAGTCACAGGTCGGACAGCTCCAATTGGCGGCATTTCCGGCGCGACTTTCTCGTTCGGCGTCATCGCGGTTCCTTGCGTAGTGGATGTAGATGAGGGTCATGCCATCTGTGCTATCATCAACCTCCCCGCTGAAGAAGTTGATGACAAGCTTAGGATAGTTTGCTTTGACGAACTCGACCGCCTGTTCGACATTTTCAAACTGCGCGAAAGCGCGACGCTTGCCTAGCGCAGGTGTTAGCAAGTACAGGTGAGAGTGTGGGGGGAGCAGGTGGCTTACCTCGCCCAGCCGAGGGGATGCGAAGATCAACAGATGGGTATTGCGATAGATCGGACTGCTTGAATAGACAGTCCCGCACCGTCTCGAGAGACACATCGGATGGCAAGCCTTCCAGGATCACAGTATCACTCGGAGTACCAGCTTGTCGAAGAGGCGATGTAGAACGATCGCGACGAGGATGGCGATCTGGGCTGCCACCTGGAGAGGCGGAAAAATGACGAAGATCCTCGTCAGGACCACGTCTGGCATCATCGCGGCGAGTGCCATCGTCGTAGTGAGGGCGAGAGTAGCCCCGGCCACCTCGATCGTAACGACGTGATCCGCGGTCGTCGCCGTCATGTGGGTGAAGTAGCGTAGCGTCTTCATCACGGCGATCCATATAGTCATCCCGACCACCGCCTTGATCTCCCGATCGAGGACGTGGCTCGTGGGCCTCACGCGGCGGTCCATGGTAGTAACGGTCGTAGTCTCTTGCGCGGTATTCTGCAGTCTCACGATCCCAATTCCGGTCCCGATCCCAGTCGCGCTCGCGACGGCGGGTATCCTCAGGGGCGTAGCTGTCGTCGTCGTAGGACAGCTCGAGGTTATTCCTGGGGGGAGACCTAGAAGAGTCTCGTCGTCCCGTGGGCAAGTTAGCAGAAGCTCAAACCAGCCAGATGTACTGCAGATGGTCATGTCCTCCGCAGGCTCAGCTTAGTCTCTTTACCCTGCCGCGTTCGAAAGCCGTCGTTGTCTGAATACTGTTGTTGATCTCGTAGAGGGGATCTTCGTCGCTCGTACGGTCCCCTCTCGCGCGTGCGATGGTTGTCCTCGTACATGATCGCGGATCGCAGGAAGGGGTGTGTCCGATCTTTATGCGCGCTGCTTCGGGCGTGAACTTGGTCGAGTTTTGCTTGGTCCGGAAAGAAGAAGAAGAGGAGGGAAGGAAAGAGTAAGGCGCGGTGCTGTCCCTCGTGAGGCGTGCGACAAGACCGTGCCTTTATGCTTCAACCAGGTCTTGGTGGAACGACAAAGGGCGACGGGCCTCAGCAATGGGCTTGGGCGAGGTCGGGAATGAAGAAGGGATGGTTCACACAACGCTGGGGCCGGCTGAAGCTTACCCCCCCTGGCAACTTCCATTCGTGGTTGACTTGCGGCTGCCTCTCATGGGATTCCGCCTTATCTCTTGCTTAGTCAAGCGGGGTCGTCGATAAGGTTGGTATGGACCTGGTCCGCGCTCCTCCATCCTTGTACCTTGTACCTGGGTACCCATCAACCTCATCCTCCCCACGTTCATCATTGTCATCTTTTGAGGTAATTTCAACCCAAGGTCATGAAGTAGATCGGCATATTGCTGGAATTTGAGGAATACTTGTTGATTCCTTGAAGCGGATTGCATAAGATATCCAACAAAGAGTTGAGCTACGTTGACCAAAATCCTTCAACTTCGAAAAGCCCATCGTCATCTTGGATACTTACACGGCCTTAACCCCACTACCTCTTTTTGCCATCAACCACGACTTGGAGTAGCAGCACATCTTTCCACCTCTATTGTTCGCAAATCCCATAGCCATGGAGAACCAAGATCAAGGACCGTTGGAGGTCTTCGAGGACTCCTGCTACGTTGCCCTCACCTACCATGTCCTCGACGCTTCAGCCATCATGAACCGAGTCCGCTCACCACAAGCCGGCGCCATCGTCCTCTTCTCCGGCACAACACGCGACACCTTCGGCGACAAGCCCGTAAAAGAGCTACAGTACAGCGCCTACACGCCCCTCGCCCTCCGCACCATGATGTCCATCGCCAAGGCCATCTTCGAGAAGCACGGCTTGAAGGGCTTCGCCATGATTCACCGCTTGGGAACAGTCCCCATCGGCGAAGAAAGCATATTGATTGCAGTATCATCGCCGCATAGACAGGCGGCGTGGAGAGCCGGCGAGGAAGCTTTGGAAGAGTGCAAGGCCAAGGTCGAGGTATGGAAGCGAGAAGAGTTCCACGGCGAAGAGGGCGTGTGGAGGGCGAATCGGGATGGAATTGCTGGGCAGAAAGAGGTCGCTAGGGATCAGAGCCTTCCAGAAAGCTCTAGTCCAGCTCCAACATGAAGTTTTTGAAAAGTTCAAGACCATTTCTTTGAAAATGGGCCTCACCTTTGTCCAGGTTGCAAGCTGCTTCCATCCGTGTTAGGGGGTTTATCATCACGCAGAATGAGCTGCTCACAAATCCATACGTAATATTCTTTTCTACCAGTAGGTAAGTTGACTAGAAAGCTGTGTCACTTGGTCAAGCATTATGCGTGCCGATTTGAGACTATCGCCTTGTGGGCGTTAAAGGTGCTCACCTAGTCATGGACGGGGAAGGATATACATGGTGCCCTAGACTCATTCAAGTCTCGCAGTGTAGATTCAACATTTTGGGCATGTCGGCACTTTTGACGATTAAAATAGAATGTGGGCATTTGATTTGCCTATATCTCAGTATCCAAGCGCGCCAAGTCATCTATGCATCTAGCTTCAGATGATCCAGCATTGTATCGATCTTTCCAAGTAAGATTTGGTAATTGATCGCATCTGAAGCGAATTCGTCTTCTGCCACCTCACCTCCAAGAGTCTTCACTCCCTCTCCGTCTTGGCCATTCTCAACGGTCGCAGCAGTAGGAGGAACAGGGGCGGTTTCCTGTGGGGCAGCACCAGCCTCACGCATCCCCTCATTCAGCTGTTCGCTCTGTGCAGCGATGGCTTCGGCCATTTCGGCGTTGATCTCCCCCTCTTCATCCATCATCTCCTCAAGGTTGGCGTCCTCGAAACGCAAACGGAAGCGCTCGCCCAGATAATATCGGATGTCATCCAACAACTCAATAGTATCCGTCTCTTCACGGTTCTTGAGTCTTTCCGCACTCTCCTTGATCAGCTCCGCAAACTCGGCCTCGTCAATGTAGTCCTCTAAGCGGTTGGCCAGGTACCGAGCAGCAAACTCTTCCAGGCGCTGGACGCGCAGATCCCACGCCGCGTGGATAACGTCGTAGATGTTGATGGGCTCCATATCCTCTTCCCGGTGGTCCTCTCCGTCGGGCCTGTGAGTGCGGTCAGCCCAGATGTTGCTGCTGCCGCTTCCCAGGGTACTGATGGCCTGCGCTGCTTTCGTCTTGAGCTTGTCGAGGAAGAGAATGTCGGCCGTGTAGAGCAAGTCCAAGGCGAGCTCGAGAGGGCAGTCCACCTTCTCAGTGTACAAGAACGTAAGCACGATTTCGAGGACCTCGGGCATACAGTCCACCGTGACGACGTGTAGGTTTTCCGAATCTTGCGCCTCCCTGAATTCGCTAGAGAACATGGTCTCGAAGTACGGGCTGCGGATGAGCATCGCCTTATGAACGGGGTAGACGACCGACTTTCGAGGCCGTTTCCTGGGTTTATCGCCGAGGGATGCAAGTCCGAGCGGGATGCCGACAGCATGTACAGCATTCTCAGGGTCCTCCGCATCATTCTCGATTTCGTCGCTCTCCGGCTCGTGTGCGCACAGGAGGCAATCGGCGAAGATTGAGTTGTCGTGACGCCATTTCACCTCGCCGACCCTCTTTGTCTCCACGATCATCTTGTGGCCCAGGACCTTCTCCCGGTAGAAACGATCAACCTGGGTCTGTGCACGCTTCACCTCGTCCTCGTACCTCTGGCGCGAAAGACGTCGGTCATTGCCCGCCAGGATTGCCTCCCATAGTTGCTCGATCTCGAGCTGCTTGCTGAGCTTATCAACACCAGTGAGAACCTCTTCCTCCGTCACCGTACTGCGAGCATTGACCACATCTTTGGGTACTTCTCCTAGATACAGATAGCGTAGGGCAACTTGGAAAGACTCAAGTGGGTAGGTGGTCGGTAGCTTCCATGTTGCTGTATCGGGTGCGCCATCGAGCTTCTTCCTGAAGTACGGCGTCCGTGCTGCCAGGAGAAACTTATGCATGTTGAAGGACTGTGCTGCTGCAATGAGGCTGATATCGGTTGTCTTTGGAACGTTCTTGGAGAGTAGACTAGTAATGTGTCCGGCCCAAGGCTGAAGGGGGTCTGTAGATTTTGAATAATCATACTCCAACAAGAGGTTTCGTATCCTGTCATTGAGGGCATTGTAAATGCATCGTTCGCCCTGGAATGTGTTCCTTTCGGCCAGTGCACCTTTCATATTGATCAGTCAATACGTCTCACTGTATGTCGATATATGACCCACCGGACTCCAAAAGTAGTTGTACGAGTTCTAGATGCCCACATAAACTAGCCTTGATACTTATTGTCAGTGAGGCCTCAGCCAAAGGTGCCGGGGCTGCGTACTCACAACAATCAACGGTGTGTAATCAAAACGATCTTTGCCATTGATATTTACGCCAGCCGAGATCAGCTCCTGACACGTCTTCAGGTCGCCTCTTCTGCAAGCCAGCAGGAAAGCCTCAAACTCGGTCGACTGATCCAAAGGGTTGTCCTCTCTAAGCACGCCATTTGCGATCAACTCATGCTCTTCTTTAAGCTGTACTTCTAATTCATCTTTTCGGAGAACCATGATGACGACCTTAATGAACAGTAAAGGATCTCTATAGCCCGTAAATCAAAGCAATTGATGATATGAAGGGAATGCATCAAATAAGTGAGGAGTTCAAGTTGGCCTCCACATCTGGGGCATTTAAGATCTCAGTGAGAATGAAGTCCGATAACTCCATGAGGTCGCCTCTGCACGGGCCACTTTGGAACTTCCTTACGTGATGGCTTCCAGTACATCATCAGTGCCCCAACATGAACCCCTCCAAAGCTAAAGTGCTGCTTATCGATAAGAAATAAGGTAAGCGAGATTGACCCACTTCGAGAAATGGAGCTGGATTATCTCAGCTCCGTTACTAGCGTCGTTGCCATGGCATCGGCCCCCAGTTGTTTACCCGAGCTCGATCTTGTTAGTCCCATGCAACCAAGTTCACAGCTTTGACTTGCAGTGCACCTTTCCCGGTCAACCACCACCAACAGCTCGGATACTAACATAGCAGGTTCGCGACATTCGCCTTTCTTTGCCTCTCAACTTCTATGGATACATACAAAGATTCACTTTAATCAAATTCATTGCGTGTTGCATCCAAGATGTCTCTGGAGGCGGATAAGTATGAGGTGCTGGAGAAAATCGGTAGGCACCCCCATTCACGAGCTTTTCACGTTGCGATCCGACCAAGGAGCTCTTCACTAAGCAAACAATCCAACAGGCCATGGTTCCTTTGGAATCATCCGAAAGGTTCGAAGAAAGGCCGACAGCCTCGTCATGTGTCGGAAGGAAATCAGCTACCTCAAGATGTCGCAAAAGGAGCGCGAGCAGCTCCACGCCGAATTCCAAATCCTCTCAACCCTCCGCCATCAAAATATCGTCGGCTACTACCATCGCGAACACCTCAAGTCGACACAAGACCTCCACCTCTACATGGAGTACTGTGGTAATGGCGATCTTGGTCGCGTTATCAGAGATTTGGCTGTCAAGGGCCAGCGCGCACAGGAGTCATTCGTGTGGAGCATTTTCTCGCAGCTGGTTACTGCGCTCTACAGATGCCATTATGGGATCGACCCTCCCGAGGTTGGCAGCAATGTACTGGGCCTCTTCAGCACAGCATCCAAGCCTAAGACGCCCCCGGGTACCATGACCATTCTGCATCGCGATCTCAAGCCGGAGAATGGTATGTTTCATCGCCCCATCAATCGACGTGACATATGTTAATTGAGAACAGTGTTCCTTGGAGAGGACAATTCCGTCAAGCTTGGTGACTTTGGCTTGTCCAAGATGATTCAGTCCCATGACTTCGCCTCCACCTACGTCGGCACACCATTTTACATGTCGCCCGAAATCTGCGCCGCCGAGAAGTACACGCTCAAGTCGGACATCTGGTCTCTGGGCTGCATCATCTATGAGCTCTGCACGCGCGAGCCTCCCTTCAACGCCAAGTCGCATTTCCAGCTTGTTCAGAAGATTAAGGAGGGCAAGGTCTCACCTCTTCCCAGCTGCTATTCCAGTGAGCTCATGGGCACTATCAAGGACTGCTTGAGAGTGAACCCCGACCACCGCCCGGACACTGCGCAACTCCTCAACCTTCCTGTTGTTCGATTGATGAGAAAAGAGAGAGAAGTTGTTGAGCTCAACAAGGTCGTCCAGAAGAAGGAGGATTCACTGGCACGTCGCGAAAAGGAGTTGAACGAGAGAATAGCCGACTTCGAGGCTGACAAGGCTTCTGTCAGACAGGAGGTTGACAGCTCGCTGCGAAGGGAGTGGGAGGTCAAGGCGCGTCTCGAGATCGATCGGCAAATCAACTCAGAAATTGAGGCCCTCCGAAAGCGGTTCGAGAGCGAGGTTCAGTCTCGTGTCGACGCCGAATTGCAGAAGAAGACGATTAGCTTGGCTGCCGAGCCCACGCACGCGCTCGACCTCGCAACCTCGCAAACGAAGTCAGACTACCCGAGGTCTTCCGTTGGTAACGGTAGCGGAGACGACGAGCTCTCGTCGTGTACCGATCTCACCGATATCTCTTCAGACAGCCCTTTCACGAGCAAGAAGGCTACTCGCACCCCCTACAGCAGAGCCCAAACCATGTTCGTCGGTGGTCAAGGCACCCCTATGGATATCGAGATGGCATCCCCCTCACCCATCGCTATTGCTTCACTTTCATTGTCACCTAGACGACATGCTGGAACCCAGGTGCCCAAGCTTAACAGCGGAAACCTATTCTCTGGCAACGCCGCTTCTTCTGGCGATCCAATGTGGGACGTCCCTCGTGACACCATCAGCATCGACTCCGACGACGAGGACATCGTTCCCTCCCCAACTCGTAACATCAAGTCGAAGCACAACCCTTTCACATCCAAGAACCGTCCGGTCTTGATGTCTCAAAAGACCGCCCCCATTACTCGAGTTAAGCCACAAGGATCGGCAACTGGCTTGAACCAGAACAAGACGCTGCCCTCGCTGCCCAACATGGCCTCGAACCCTGACCTCAGCCGCGGTCTCCGTGAACGCTGTCAGTCGCCTAACCGCCGATTGAGTAAGATTCCTTCGGCAGCGAACCTGTCGGCTGCAAACGGCAGCGAGTCTCCTGGCGGTCTTTCCCGCAAGAACTCTACCAAGAAGGATCAAGAGCCCCTTGGTAAGGTTGCGGCGAAGAACAACATTAAGGGCCGAACGCTGGTCGAACTTCAGCAGGCCCGAGCAGGAGGCCGTCCTCTTTCCGCTGTCATGTCTGGTGGCGAGAACATGAGCCCTAAGAGGGCATTCAAGGATCGCATCGCGGACCGTCGGGCTAGTGGCGGCGAGCCTGCTGCGGTGTGGGATCCCGAGCGGGATGAGATGCCCAGTCCATTCCTGATCAGACGTAAGCCCATGGCAAGAGTCTAAGATCATTTCTTTTCAGTTGGCATACAAGAGCGTCGGGTGGCGAAGATACCATAGCATGCACACGGGTCATTCATTGGTTGTTATTGTCATTGCTCATTTATCACTCTCTTTTGTTCTGGCGGCACCGAAAAAAGTTGGAGGATATCTTCCGATGGAGGTAATTGTGGGTGTTTATACACAGCAATCCTGAGTCCTGGTGATGATCAGACGGGACTCTTGACTTTCACACTTATGAAGATGGATTTTGAAGGTGTTGGATTGGAACGGTACGGTGTTGCCGGACTCGGCTGGGGTTTCATTTTCAATGCAGACGTTGCCACGGCGTTTGGTAGATTGTTTTGTTGGCTACTTGTACATGTTGCATAAGGGGTTTGCAGGTGTAGTTTTATTACGGACGAGACAAATATTCATCTTCTCAAGTATGTCTTGGCCTTCTCGTACAATGAATGACGTTGTGAACTACAGAATGACCGATCTCGTTGTATTGGACACCGCATGTATACTGATGTTGCTCTCGCGTCAATAGTTGCCAAAATGAATGGCACGTTGACGAATAACTTACTGCAACCGTCCATGTTCCCCGTGGCATCTAAGCAGGCTGTTCCGGTCTAGTCTCGTTTCACACAGGAAGAAGTTCAAGACATCTGGGGTTGACCAGAGCGGCGTGGCCAGAACGGCCAGCCGTGTCATATTTCACGCAAGACAGTTCACATTCCAGATCGCTTCGAGATTCTACCTTTACGCCATGTTGTCTCCTTTGACTCGTAATCGATGATATGCCGCCCCGTAGATTCTCTAAGCGAGACCGAGAGCCCGAGACAACAAACGGCGAAATAGCAAGAAATATTGAACAATGTTTGCTTTTCGACGTTCGTTGTAAGCCTTTGGTAAGCATGCCGTCTCTGAGAGACTGAGACCTCCCCTCCCCATCCCCTGTATAATAGCGCAGAGTTTATTATAACTCACCTAAGAAACGACGAACCCCGTCCTACCAACCCGTGGTTCACGATGATCTCATCACTTTCGATGACAAAGGAAGTTTTTTGATGTTTCAATGAGACGTCCGTGATGTGATAGAGGGAGGGATGAAGGGGGGGTTGCCCGAGTGCCGGGTCTTTACCGGCCTGCATGTCTCAGAGGACACCGGTCCGCATCCGCATAAGCGTGCGTTCTTCTTGCTGGCCAGAGTGTCTGTCCCACGCTAGGCGATGCGCGGTGAGGAGGATCAGTAGGGGTTATGTGATATGTGAGGGGGAGCGGCACGGCGGCCACGGGGCACGGGGTGTGGGAGGCACGGAGGGAAACGGGGGAGGAGCCTAGGAGGAGCACAGGAGGCAGAGGGGGCCGCGCTTGAGTACGTTTGCTGATCATCGATGCGCGGTCATCATGGCGCTGAGACAGACATGATGGACGACGTACGTGATTGCGGGCATTTGCTGCATTAGCTTCAGCAACTTATTCTTTTCGACGACAGGCGGGACGGATATGGAGGGGGTACTCCCTGCTGCTGCTGGCCGATATCATCGCCGTCATCGCTCTGAGTGCTGCTTCTGCGGGTGGTTTAGGGGAGTATTCCGGATCTGGGTATGTGCTTTTGCTTTTCCGAATGCCCTCTCTCTCTCTCTATCCCACTCCGTGTCTTTGCTCTCCACTTGCCAGCGCGCCGGGGGGTTCTGTTCACGGTGACATGGTATCGGGACACAAGCTGAACCCGGATTCAACCCGTGTATGGTTCGTTCATCAGCTCATGATGTAGGGGCCAGTGCGGTTTAGGCTTGGTGTTTTCTTGATATATTTGCTTTTTCTCATCTTCGCTTACTGCCACCCACACCTTTACACACCCCCTTACGCCCACATCAACCATCGGCGACCTGCCTGAGACCCCCAGCAAGCCCATCTTGCATACCGGGGAACCGAGAAAATCATGAAAGCACCGGGCACAGAGAGATCCCGTCTGCGGGAGAGAGACGCAGCTTGATTTCTTGGACCTTGAAAAGCCCCGAAAAGAAGAAACAAGCACTCCTCCTCTACCTGTCCAGCGCAACTTGCCAGCAGCTGGACGAAGTAGGCGCGAGCGGGACTTCGGGAGGCTCAGCGGGCGGGCAGGTTTGCTCTTTTCTTTCCTTTCACTGTATTCTTGCCCGTGT